CTGAAATTCGTGACTGGACATCCTTAGAAAAATACGAAACAATGATCTTAGTTCCTTTCATCCCTTTTCATCATTGATCAAATCTGCCATAATTGTATCCGTTCCATAATCTATTCGCTAATTTCATGTAGTATATTGGTTTTTTTCGCTTTCGCTCCTGTCGCTCAAAGAATTCGATAAAAAATCGCAGGCAATTATTAAAAAATAGTCTAGAGAAGGTTTGGTGGAATTCGGGTTTCGAGTTTGTTTTCGAAACTAAAACAATTGTTTGTTGCTGTTTTTGAAAACGAAACTAGTCGCAAGCGCACCCGTTTAGTGAAAATCCGCCTTCAGAGCTGAGTAAGAGTATACAATACATTCCTGTTAAAAAGAGCCACTTTGAATAAGACATTTTCTGAGGGACATATTTCATGTCAACAACCCTCATTTCAAAAATTTCAAATATTACTCGAATGACACATTATTCAAATTGCCTTTCAATTCTATATTCAACCCTGTAACATTTTTGACATTCAGTGGGTATTCTTAAAGACTGGCTCTGAATCAAATTAACTAAAAAGACAATTTGTTCAGGCCAGTCTCGACTTACCTACACTCTAGATTAATGGACTGACACCTACTAGAAAACAACTATTTCCCTGGCTAATACCACGAAGGGCATTAGATTTTATCCAACACATTGTAGGTCCAACACCTGTTGGATATAATTCAATGATCTTTCTTTAATCTTTGAAAAAGTCGAAAAAACACTTATTGACCTCAAATAATTGTAACTTTGGAGATGATTAACTTTTAGAAACGGTATGACTTTAACAGTTGGTAGTAGTTTTGACTCCAACATTCATTCATGATATTTACCACTCATAGGTGTTTTTTCGGATAACCTAAAATCAACAAGTCATTAACATTTTCAAGAAAGATAACCCTGATGACGCAAATTACTACAAATTCACTTTTATTATCTGCATTTTTTGATAGGCGCTTCTGGAAAAACTATTCATCATCTCTCTCAATACACAACCATTTTATGTTGATCAATTTGGTTTCCGAAATTTCTTGTGTTACAATTCGTAATGTACATGGGGATGAGGGATTTAAAAAACACACAGAAATCACCCTGTGTGACTTCTCAGAAGGCTTCGATTGTATCAGAAAACATACTGACCACTACTTTGTTGAAACACACCTAAACCCACCAATCACAGATTTGAAAATTGTATGTGATTTTTTGTTTTTTGCAATGAATGTCACAGTAAAACTTCTGAATTGAGTTCCCTCATTGAACTATTAAGTTACTTGAGAAATTGTTAAAAAAGTTGTCCGTTCACCTTCAAATATTTTGAAATGCGACACACAACAGAAGGAGTCGGTAGCTAGTTGTTTTATTTGCATTTTAGTTCTGCATACACGTTACTCCAGAGTCCCCAATAATTAAAAATAAATCGATGTTGAATCTGGAGACTTTGGAAGTCGGTTCCAGGGACCCAAACGCTTTCTTCGCAAATGTAACGGAAAATATTGGAACTAAATTTATTTCGAAAACATCTTTCCTAGACGAAAAAGTGAATTCTTCCTCGGCTAGTTATCGTTATTGCTTATGTTACAAATTCCTACATGGCAAAATTTCGGCTCATCTGACCAAATGATTTTTTTCAAAAAATTGTCATCTTTAATCTTCACGTGGTTTAGCTATAAGGGTGTACTCACAAAGTTCACTTGAAAAGAAGTAATGTATTGAAACATGGAAACACATACAGGGTTTTCCATTGGAAATGAATATTCATACAAAAATTCTCATCTTGCTGAAGGACCATGCTTGTAATACACCCTGTTCGTATTATCTTGAATTTTTTGTGAGAGTTCCATGTCTTGTCTCAGTCTCTGGGAAATTTAATTGTTTTCATCCATATGCCAGATATTGAATTCATATCAAAACTAGGTATTGTTGAAAAATATGTTTTTTTTTTTTCATTTTTTATCATGAATAATGAAAGTTGTTTGAAATCCATTGTTTATAGAGTATTCTGCTTGAGAAAACAACATAGAAAAACACTACATTCTTCAAAATATTTTAGAACCAGCGTAGATCGTATTCATTAGTAGCCACTACCAAATTTTCAAAACAATATATCACATTGTTTTCCGAATAGATATAATGGTGCATTAAACTTGTGTTTCTCTGTATACTGTCTATTTTCCACATTGGAAAATTCTACTAGTTCGAGGTTCTAATGGACTCTGATTCCTATTTATTGTTCGTTCTGACGTATGAACCTTTTCGTTTGTGATTCCGATAACATGAGATCCCATATACCGAATATTTTCCAAAAGTTCACATCATTGGTATAATCGAAAACTGTCCCGTCAATCCAATTCGATCCCAGTTTCCAAGTATTTCCTCTCATTAGGAACCTCTTCACTGTAATATAAAAATGACTCAATTAGACAAACTTCCTCAATTCAGATTGAATTGACGATAATGAAGCATTAACGTTTCAGGATGTTGGCAGTAATGTAATCAACAAGATTTAAATTCCATTATTCTGCTTCGAAACTATATATTGACCATTTCTCAAATCATTTCTTGATATTATCTCATACACAAAAATCATCACTTCAAACACTTTAAATATTTTAGGATTTAAAATATACCATAAATGAGAAATACTGTAACTGTTCTATAACTTTTGGAAAATCGCTATTTTCAACATAATACGTTTGTTACCTTGAGTCAGTATCTTAGGAGTTTTCGCAAAATCAAAAGAATCATGCGAAAAAAAAAGCAAATGGTCTGACAATCGAATGCGAAAACATTGTGTTTTTGTTTTGTGTTGTTGGGTACTTACCTATCTCGAAGTGAATTCAGAACATGCCACAGTATTCGAGGGTAATATTTCAGAATGATCTGTGATGTTCTCAAACGTTTCAAACTATTCTTGAACATCCCACAACTTGACTATTCCAGACATTTCTAAAGGACTAAACTTCCAGCCCAATAACATTCTAGATATTTCCACAATGATCTGGGATATTCTAAGATACTCTTGAACGATCCACTTCAATCAAGAACATTTTATAATGTTTAGGAATGCTATGGAATGTTATTGAATTTTCTCTATTATTTTCTAGCAGACGAAAAGTTCAGCCCTTTCATGGAAGGCGACAGGAGGCTACCACAACAAATAACTTCCTTGATCGCTTCACAATGATCTGGGATGTTACGGGATGTTCCATCACATTCGGTAGCCGGGCGGTTCGACGTGGGTGCTTTGTTCACTCAATCCATCGGCCTATGTGGCAGTCGATGGTTCAAGCCGCAGGCTGAATGTTCGATCTTCATTTGCTAGGGTCCAACCCGTGTTAGGAATCACGCGTTGAAAGGTAAGACCTCGTTAGTCCCTAGCTCGCACAAGTTTCGACTTCTGAGGGTTGTCGTTCGTAGGTGTGCGATAGCTGGTTAACGGAAAAAACAAATTTTTTAAACATATTTAAACATTCCAAAATGTTCCTGGAAGTTTTGGAGCTTTGTGGAGTATTGTTGAACTTTCGAGAGATCGAAACTTCTAGCTCGTATATCTTTAAAAGCACGCATTTCAAGTAAAAACGGAAACATTTTTCATGGGTTATTTTATAATGATCTAGGATGTTCCGTGATTTACCTAACCGTTCTATACCGCTCCTGAATATTCCAATATATTTTCGAATTTTCCAGAACAATATGAATTGTTGGGAAATAGTTCAGAATACTTTCTAGAGTTTTTTAAGGCCGAATCTTCCGCCCCCTATATCCAAGCCGGATCTGACTGCTGGTAGAATATTTTTTATCGAAATATTATAACATTTATTTTGAGCTCATCACCAGCCTTTCAGAATGAACTATTACCGTTTAGCACACATAGTTTGGCATCGAAGCATTTCAAAATATCCAAAACGGTTTGACGTATAATTACTAAATTTTATTCGACACAGATGATTGAAATTCATCCTCGCAAAACTTTCGTTTGTCAGTAAAATATGTATTCCCAATTCTTTCAATATACTTCAAATGGATTATTTTATCCATCCCACCTTAAGTTTTTTTTGGAAAAATAGAATAATGCGGTCAGGGGAGCGGTAAAAACAATCAAATATGTATATTTTTCTTGTCACTTGTCTGAAAATGTTCAAAGTGCAGCAGTTATTGTTTAGACTATTGATCTGTCTTTCCATTCGTGATGTTTATGTACAAGATACAGATATTAATATTTTAGTGTTATGAATACATGGTGATCAGAGACAGGCAAAACAAAAACTTTTACAAGTAACAGAGAAACACGATGTAAAACTACTTCTGTTTATTAGTCGCAGCGTTGCCAGTTGCAAACAATTTTTATAGAGTGAGGAATGTGATTATAATTTAAAGCAGTAATGACTTTCCTACCACGTAGTAACTAATGGCTACCTCCATCAAGCGTCTGTTTATAATATAAGAAATCTGAAGAAAAAACAAATTTGTCATAAAATTCCTGTACATATTGTCTCTGATGTCGAACAATGGCCAAAATCATAGGAGAAGCGGTTTGAAAATCGAAAATCGAATAAAAAACGAAATTAACAAAAAATAACAAGTGAGTGTTGTATCCGCAGATTCCTCTATGAAGCGAGTCATTTACTTGTCTATATGAAGTCAATCCGAAGAGCAATATGAATACTAATGTACCGGGTCTGATAAATTTACTAGTTTATGCCATATAAAAGCTTCCACTTATAGGTAGCACTTATAATTATACCTCGTATGAGTTTACCTCGCCGCTTATACCCTACAAAGAAACTGCCGACGTTCGGTGACTATTTGGTTTTTATGCCATTTGAATTGACTTCTATGGAGAGACATGTTTCAAATGTTTGAAAAATTGATTGTGAGACACAGCATAAGCAACAACTTTCTTTGAACTCTGAGATCAGCCCCCTTTGATTATTTTTATTGATTTTGAAGTCATATACTTATGAAACACATAATGAATGAGTGAAAACAATTAAAGTATGTTTAATTTTTCATACAACTCAGTCACATTGATATGAATGTTAATACAAACAAATTTCAATAAAAAAGATGAACAACAAATGAGGTTCGTTTATTAGGAAACACCATAGAAACCTACAGAGCATCGCCAAACTTTGACTTGGTACACTCATCATAAAGAAATACTGCAATCGTAACTTTCAATGTCACCAAGATAAAAAAGGTATCAAATGACATTTCCTAATCCGTCTGATGAAAACTAAATACAAAAAGAATAATTTTTAGAATGTGAAGCATATAATATGTGTTGAATGAATATATTTTTTATGAACCGATTGAAAAAAATATGAGAAGTCACAGAATGATTGATTAGGTGAATTTCAATCATGTTGATAATTTTTCCAAAACACCCTAAAAATATGTCGACAATTAGGGGTCTGAAACCTTTACAAGGTTAATTCTTCAACAAATTCAAAAAATGGAATGAAAATATTATTTTGACCACACTATTTTTATCAGACAGATGTTATTAAGGGACCGACATTGGAATTAGGAGTTTAACAGTCGAAGTTAACGATTCGGTGTCGAATTATTGAAAAAGAAAAAATAAATAGACCTTTTGTGCTCCCACAAATATTCCAGTACACTCAGATTGATTGTAAATAATCAAACTATACAATTTGGAATTATCTGAATTTATTCATATCGAAAAAGTTCTTATCTGTTTTTGTTTTCATCTGAAATCGATGAATTCGTGAATTTCTTTTGTGATATCACTATGTCTTTGTCATTCATTAAAAAAAATCCTCAATGATTTTGAAATTGAGTAGCTGCAGAACTGTAACTGTACCTACAACCATACCTTCATATGAACATATTGAAAACGAATAAAATAGTTGACTGTGTCAGAACTATTTGGCAAATTTTTCTCGAAATGAAATACTTACAAAGAGTGGTATAAGCATTATAGGAGAATGCAAAAGTTTAAAAATGTATTTCATACCAAAAGTCTACCTATATGAATCCACTGGATCACTTTCTTTCCTCAATATTATTTTCCTCGATAGTTGTAGTGATTGTAGAAATATGGACATGATTTTCGACAGTTTTTTCGTCTTTATGATTTATTCTTACTATTGTGTTATGACTGGCACTTGCCATGTTCAATTTTTTCAACTTTTTCTTTCGAAAAATTACTCTAAGGTAATAGCAAGGAAAAACGACGCATTTTCCTGCAGGTTCCTCTGCATCTATGTACACCCCTCTGACTAGTAGTGAGTTTGAACATCTGCACAGAATCAAAATGATCAGACAGACCCAATGCGTGATCCAACAGCTAAGTTCCATATTATCTGAAAATGAAAAGTAATATATTTTGACAAGGGAATGCATAGATTCAAATTATACTTTCATACAGGGCTATTCAAAATTGAGTCGATCATCGGAATCTCGTAAACGGTAGAAGATAGGGAATCAGGTAAATTGTGGCAACGTTGCATATTTTAAGTTGCTATTGAATAATACCAAAAAATGTTCCGAAGACACACATGAAAAATTAAATTTTCAAAATTAAATTTCTGCCGTATTTTGTTATCTACACTGGAACTGGAATTTAATATTTTTTTAAATAAGCTTAAAAAAATAACGACCGAAAAATACTAGTAATATTGTGAAAAAAGCGAAGGGCGCTTGATATACAAAAAATATGGCACAAAGTGCGTACGCTTTTTTCACAAAAATACTGGTATTTTTTCTCTTTTTAGTTCGATGTTCAAACTATATTTACTTCTCATTTTTTAGTTTAGTATGCTATAAAAGCGTGTTTTTTTTCATTTTCAAACTATGTTTATTTTATATAAACTTTGGGATCAATTAGCCGTATATTGTTTAGAAAAATCACTATTGATATTTTCCGATTCCGGATATATTTTATTATTTGAAAATACTTTTCAGATATTCCATTTGAAAAAACCTACCTTCGATACACCTCGGTTGTACTGAGTAAACTGTACATTACTGAATAATTCGAAAAAGCTTATTTTTCTGATGTATAAAACTTTTTTATGAAGAATGTTTCAATAACTCCGATTACGAGAATAGACAGTGTACACATGCCAACTAGTTTCGAAAACCTACTAATATTACGAAATAAACAATGCATTTCATAAACTCTCTAAACATCAATCTGAATTTCTTATGAATCCGAATAGAAGTGAAATTTCACTTCTTTCATTATAATAGGGAAGCCCAAGCGGGGATTTCGGGATTTACTAAAGCGCGGCAGATTAATATACAGGAGGATACCTTGTACCCGGTTAAGTACCTCCACCAAATATGAGCCCCATATATAAGGCCGCC